CAAGGGGGGAAAGCAGTTTCGGTAAGTACCCGATATTTTCGATCATTTTATGTCGGGTGACAATATCGGGTACTTACCGAAACTGCTTTCCCCCCTTGATATTTATACTGATTTAAAGTTAAATAATAAAAAAATGAGTTAAAAAAATGAGTTAAAAAGTTATTGTTTCAAAACAATTGAAAATTGGAACTATGCTGATATTTTTTCAGTGGTATAATGATAATGGGTTTTTTCAAATATTAAAAATTTTATTTCAACTACATGATGATCAGTTTTTAATTAAATTATAAAAGTTATCAATATCATCGGAATATATAAAAGATGTGTGAGATGTATGAAGTACACAGTAAGTCAACACTCCTTGGTGAAATCCCTAGGGAGCCCTCGTAAAATCCCCGGGACTCAGTTACGGGACTCCCCGGGGAGTTTACAAAAAATGAAAAAACCTGGCGCAAAAGAATTGATATATATTCCAAAACAGCTGGTCCAGCAATTACTATACCAATATCACGACCTTCCTTCATCAGCTCATTATTGACTAATCGAACGTGGCTTAAACACTTGCTGTTATTAGCCAAGGATGTATAACGAGATTAGACAATACTGCCTCTCTAAGCGTGACTGACTTACGATTTTTTTGCTTAAAACGCAATTATCTAAAAAATAAAAAAAGCTGAGAATATAATTTTGGTGCCATTGTGTAGAGATCGGCGGACTCTATATATACACGGAAAATATTTTGATTTCATCAAGTGGTTATCGAGATATTCAAAAAATACGGAGCGTGACTGACTTACAGAAAATAGAACTGTTTTTCACCAATGTTGAAATCTGTCAAAATGAGAAGTTTTAAAAAATTTATTTTATGCTTAGTTTGTAGCCTAGATTTCTAGTTATCTAAGAAAAAAAAAGCCCAACGACGCACTGATTGCTGAGTACACAGACAACAAAACGTGATTGACTTACATCCTTCTGATGTGAGTTTTGACCAGTGAATTTTCAGTCACATAATGTCCTCCAAAAAACTTGATTTTATATTTGTCATAGATCTGGTGATATTCTATCGATTTATGTGAAAACTAAAGTTGAAAATTTTTTTTCAGCCTTTTAAACTTCACTGGAACTTTTAAACATCGAAAAGGCATAAATTTTGATTCTAAAGTCGAATTGTCGAAAAAAATGAGCCATTTTGTAATATAAATCTCTTAAATATAATTTTCACGACATGTCACTGACATGCCTAGCAATGTCGACGGAGATTTTTGATTCAAAGCACGAGGTTCACTCTGAGTGATGCCGAGCAAAATTTTTCTTTAAGTCGACTGGGTGAAACTCAAGGAGACTTACCCTGTTTAGTTTCGAGCGGTGCCTAGCAATATTCTTCTTTCTTTCTTTTTTTCTTTCTTTTCACACTGTGTTTTCATGTTCGAGTCAGACACTCGTTCTCGGTTATCTCTGATCTTACACATTTCGGCAAAGGATGATTCAAAAGTAGAGAAGTGGAAGATGACACATCTGAAGTTATTTTTCGAATGTTTGCTTTAGTTATCGTGTAATTAGTGTCACAAAATGAGTATATTTTTTACAAAACTCTATTGTTTCTTCTGTGAGATAATTATTCGTCACGTGATGCCGTTCATAGTAAATATGTGCTACAGTGTTTATGATACGATAAAAGCTATAGTAGAATATATAACAGGATACTGAGTCAGCTGTTGTAAGAATATAGGAATTCTTCTTGAAAAATAGTCAAACTGTTTCTGCTATGAGATAATTAATTGTTATGTGATTCACTTCATAGTGAATATATGCCAGAGTACTGGATATAATGAAAGCTATACTATAGTAGAATATAGGATAATGAATCAGCTGATATAGGAATACAGAAATTCTTCTTGAAAAGTAGTCATACTGTTATGAGTTTCTGAATCTTCTAATTTCGTCTGTTTACCGTTTCACTCAGTCGACTTTCCAATCTATGCACAGCATAGTTGGTCTCTAGTCTTTAAGTCGACTGAGTGAAACGATAGGGAGACTTATTCTGTTTAGTTTCGAGCGTTGCCTAGCAAAATTCTTCTTTCTTTCTTTTCACACTGTGTTTTCGCGTTCTAGTCAGACACTCGTTCTCAGTTATCTCTGATCGTACAGATTTCGGAAAAAGATTATTCGAAAGCTCACAGATCATAGATGGCACAAATGAAGTTAGTTTTCGGATATGTGCTGTAGTTACCGTGTAATTAGTTCTACAAAACGAGTATATTTTTTAGAAAACTTTATCGTTTTTCTGTTAGATAATTATCGTCACGTGATATCCTTCGTAGTGAATATATGCTATAGTGCTTGGTATGGTAAAAGTTATAGCAGAATGTATTATAGGATAATGAGTCAGCTGACATGTCAATGTGAATAATATGCCGTGGAAGATACGTAGACAGTTATCAGTTTCTGGATGTTCTAATTTCGTCTGTTGACCGTTTCACTCAGTCGACTTTCCAATCTTCCCACAGGGCAGTTGGCCTCTAGTTAAGTCGACTGAGTGAAACTAAGGAGACTTACTGCTTTTCACTCCGAACGTTGCCTAGCAAAATTCTTCTTTTTTTCTTTCTTTCTTTATTTCTTTCCATATCTTTTTTCTAGTTCGTTTCAGCCACTCGTTCTAGGTTACAGCTAACCGTAGAGGTTCGGGAAACAGGTCAGTCAAATATACAACGGTTGCAGATGACACATCTGGAGTTAATTTTTCTATGTATACTTTAGTTCACCTATAATTAGTCCTGGAAGATGAGGATATCTTTTTGAAGAACTTTGCGGTTTTCTGTAGAGATAATTAACTGTCACGCGATGTCCTTCACAGTGAATAAATCTAATAGATATAAGAACCTTTACGTTTTAATGAACGAAATGAAAAAGAATAAATTTTCTATTTTAGCGTGAATTTAGTTTTCTACGGTTAGCTGAGCATAATGTGTAACTTGTGCACTCGGAGTTAGAGTAAAAAGGGGAAGTAAGTACTCTCGACTTAATGCGGCATTAATTGATCAAGTTGATGGATTATATATTAAATTCACAATGAGAGAGAAAATTTTTCAGAAAAAGGTCGGCTGAATCTGTAGAGATATTGGACCGTCAATACAAACCAAAAAGGTAGATTTTTCTTTTCAATATGATTATTTTTGTCAAACAATTGTATTCTCGATCAGATAACTCAAGAACTAGGCAGTATCCTTTTGGAAAAATAGGAATGATATTGATCTATATATACCCGTAGACCGTAGTCTACTTCTATGTCTACGCGTAGACATTTTTCATAGGTCTATGTACAGAATAGAACAAATTTTCATTTTTGATTAACAGTTACAAAAACTAATAGAATTTAAAGCTGAACTGTATTCTTCCTCTTTATAAATATATATTTATATATCCGTGTTCAAATCATATAATCATCCACTTTTTCACTAAGAGACAGGCAACACGTATTTTTCTTTTCTTATCTTCTCTATATACCTAAAAGTATATACATACAGTCAAACGACTGTATGTACAAAATTCTCTTTGTTCTTTCTACATGTGACTAGCACATTATATATTTCACAAAATAAAAAATTGAGGTCAAAATGAACCATAATTAACCATTAGATCATGATTATCATGGTAATCAATTAAGAGAACGATCACTAGCACAACTGAGAAACATTGATAAGGACCAGATTATGGAAAGTAATGTAAATTCAAACGAAAATATTTATTATGGAATGCAACCAACGGAGTATCAAAATTTGAATCAAGCAGCATCAAATATGATTCGTGGTGTCACCCCATTTCACCAAACAGCTCCTTACCCTTATTCATATCATCATGTGAATCAAATTCCTACTCAAATAACAACGGGTAAAAACCAAGAACATCAACCATTGAGTCAGTCTGAACAGCAGATGAACTATTCAGCGGCTACTGAGCACTTGTATGTAAATCCTAACACTGCTCAATTAAATACATATATAAACTCAAATCGTTCAAATGCTTATCGATATAGCAATAATGAAAAACGAAGCCCAAGAACTATGAATAATGAAGATTCCTCTATAGCAGAAAATAAATGTCCTAAAAATCATCACAATACTGATTTAAATGATTATGAAGCTATATATCAGCAGAACAACAACAGCTCGAATACTCATGGCCGAAGGTATTCAGGGAAGCAGACCAGTAACGCACCATATGCTTCATACTCGTCTCATGGTCAGCAATCAAATCAGCAAGTAGATAGTCAAAGCAATGTTCAACAAGTTTTGCAGACTCAGAACCCATCGGTAATAAATATGAACGTATTGAAATATGCAACAACACATGATCTACCGCCATTTATTTTGAAATTTGAAGAAGAAGAAAAGCTTACCCGCAATCGTCTTCCCGGTGCTATGCACATAAAATCCTTCATCCAAAGCGATTTATGGAAAGCAGGGGTGAAGTGTAGCGGCTTCTCATTAATTCGTCCTGTGGGAAAACGTTTTAAATTATATGTAGCCGAGAAGATTATTATAAATTGTTATTGGCGGAAAAATGGCCTAAAAGCGTCTGTGATAAAAATATATTAATTATAAAACCAGATTTTACCCCTAGTCAGTTATCACTGGTGCTACGTAACGTTCCACAAACCATATCAAAAGAGGTGGCTGAACAAGATGTCAAATATTCAATCAAAACAGCAATAAATTTTAGGAAACTGGTGAGTAAATATCCCAAAAAATCAGTTGATTATCGTTTTGATGTCCCAGATCTGCGAGAATATAAGGGTGCGGTTGATCAAGGGACTATTGGTATTGGTAATGTAATGAGAACAATAAATGAATACATTCCGGTGAATCGTATTTTATATTGTTCCAAATGCTGGCAAATTGGCCATATAATTGATGAATGTGATCAACGGAATTTTAAATGCAAGACTTGCCTACAAGATTTTTGTACAGAATACGGTGCATCGTTGTTCGAATGTGGAAAAATGCGCTCAATATATGGGAAATCATTTGTCAACAGCTCCGTCATGTGAAGTAAACCAAAATCACCGACAAAACTTGAATGAAGCGGTTAAAAAGGCTATTGAAGATGGAAGAATTCAAGCAACAGTCGTAAATAACCATTCGGTACCTGTTCCAAGAGATAACTTAAATGAATTCCCTCGGTTAAACAGCACAAGACAAGCCCCATGGATGAACAAGAACAATAATCAGCAACACGATATTACGAATAATAATACAACAAGGACAATAAATAATAGTTTAGAAATGAAAGACAGAAATGCAAGAATTCTCGACGAAATGAGGAAATTAAATGAAAGTACAGATTTAAAACTGAACTAAATGAGTAAAGTAATACAAGAATTTATCCCGGCTATTACAAAACTGTTTGAAGCATTAATAACAACAATTGTAACGCCCTTACTAGGTGAAGACCAAAACAAACATCAGATATTAGAAGATTGTAAACAACAATTAAATTCACTAACTCAATCGGTTTTAAGAATTACCAAAGCATTTACTAACTCAAACCAGCACGAAACATTTACTACTACAACAACAGGTACAGATACTCAAACAACCATAGTTTTTCGCCTGTTACTAGCAAAAATTAAAATCCTTATATCTCGATCAAATCTCATGCTGACTCAAGGAAATTTTCAGAAAACGCTCAGGACAGCTCATAAAGCATAATCGAAGACCAAAAAGGTGAATGTGAGCTGGGTATTGGCTTAAGGTTGTTCAGAAACCTTCTGAAAAACCTCAGAGCATCAGTGTTCTGCTGGACCACTTTTTCGGCGTGGTCAACAACATATGGCACCTTTTAAGCCTTTCCTTTCTTTTTCTTTTGGTAGTAACAGGCGAAAAACCGGTTTTTCAAAACAATGCCTCTGGCGAAGTTATATTCATTTCTACACAAAAACAAATCTTGTCACTATGCTCAGCGTAGTCGATTACCTATAGTCCATGGCATTTTGAGATTCCCAGAGATGTCTTCTCGGAGATAGACATGTGCTCGGGGAAAGCGAGCCCTGCCCGAACGACGATAGCTAGAGAGCCAGGACTTGCATAATTTTGTAGAGTAACGACCGAACTATCTACGCATGCAAAAAAATTACTAACCATGTATGTT